GGTTTTTCAAATGACATTCTAAACTGTAGTATCTCTTAAGCAGATGCAAGTTTCCCTTTACAACAGGTATCAAGCAGAAGAATTTTATGTCAGTATCTCTGCAATGCTCTTAGGCTGATGAAGACGTTAACCCTTTGTTCTAAATGGCAACTGCCAGCCAGTTCTTTATCATTTAACTTCAGTTACTATGGGAATATATGGAAGGCTGTTTCTTCTAATTAGCATACCACAACATGGATGAGAACACAGGCTCAATGGAATGACTCTGCTCTTCTGGAAACGCTGAATAGAAGCGGTTTTATTCAGTGATGTCTGAATATCCATATTCTTCCTCTCAATCCAATGTGCTGAGCTATTAGACTGTGGCCTATAACTTAAAGTTAAGTTATACCCTAGGGTAACCCATAACTTTAAATTAACTTTAAGTTATACCCTAGGATGGGTTATCAACACAGCCTCCTAATTAACCCGTACATATGGACTGATAGGTTGGTCACCAATAATGGACTTTCACAAGGAAGTCAGAAACTGCTTTCTAAAATGCCACCTAGATTTTCGGGCCTGGCACCATCCACAGTAGAATTTTCCTGACTTGAAGTGGCTCTCAGTCAAGTGGCCATCTCAAAAACCATCTCTGCAAGGGAGGACTCAAAGAAAAAAAACTGTCACTAGGATACAGTGACACCTATCCCACATTTTGTGGTTAATAAAACAAGTCCTGCCTTCAGCTTGGCACAAGGCCCTGATCTGATGTATTTCAAGCCAAGCTGGAGGGCTCACAGGGAAAGCTGCCATTCATGAATGCTTCAAGAGGACAGGATCCCAGGGTCCCTCGTGGCAAACCAGGGACCAGAAACCTTTGTGATAGACCTTTGGAACAGACCTGCCCTGCTTCTTAAAGAGAGTTGGTGTATTGTGCTTTTCTTTAAAAAAAAAAAAATTGTTTTACCTACAAAATCTGTTTTTCCTAATATTTTTCTTGAAAAAGGTGTCCTGTAAGGGTGAAAAAAAGGGGGGCGGGAGAAGTGTAGGGAAAGAGAAGAAATGCTCTGATTTCTGATTTAACAATCTCAAACATCACTCACTTCATTTTCCCCCCTCCTGGGTGTAACCAAATACAAGACACATAGGACTTTTTCTGGTAAGTCTACATCCAGCCTTCATTTAAGATTTCCTGTCCAGTACATAATTATAAATTTTCATCCTAAAGTGGCACACCTATTTCCCCAGAGAGCTCAGCTCTCTTTGAATAAAAAAAGGTGAGGTACCCCTTTGGGGGATTCAGTATATATTTTTAAACTTCTCATTAAATCAGCCTAATTTATGGGGCATGTTCAGGAAAAGCAGTTCTTTGGCGGATTCAAAGTTAATTTGCAGACTCTGGCCTGTCCCCCTCCTTCTGCCCCTCCTGCGAGCTCCCCTCCCGCGAGCATTTCCGAATGCGTTCGACCCTCTCCGAAGCGGCTCGGCTCTCTCCGCCGGAGCGCGGACTCTGCTCCGAACACCGCCGACTCTCTCCGAGCCCCGCGCCCAGACCGCACCGAGCCTAACCGAGCGTCGCCGAACTGAGCCCCATCGACTTTTCCGTCCTCGGCTGGGCGCTGTCCACCACTTGCAACGCCTGAAACCTCATCCAGCTCCAGTGGCTGGGGCGTCTACCGGGCTCGAGTCCTCCGCTGCTGATTACAGACTTCTGAAGTTTTAAAACGTCCCCCCTCGGGAGAAAGGAGTGGCGCGGCTTGCATTTACCGATCTGCAAGAGCTCCAGACAGATGCAACATGCACCTTGTGGCAAAGAGCAATTCCCCAGGCCCCGCCTCCCCATCCATTTGGTTTGCACAAGCTCCAAAGAAACCCCAAGCTAAATTATCCTTGGTTCAGAAGGGTGCAGCGAGCGGAAGGGGCCTCTTCGAAGAAAGCCCCAGGGAGCTCTCGAACAAAAATAAGAACATGTCAAGCAAATGGGGAAACTGTCTCCGAGTCGCTACTCCCTACCATCATGGCGCCGCCTAGAACCCGCTTGTCATGCCTGTTACACATGCAAGATTTTTTGCATCTTGGTTCTGAAACCGCAAGCATGCTTCATCTCCTACTCCCACCTTCCCACGAAAGGGGTTTCTATTTTCCATTGTTTCCCTACGCGATGCAATTACTTCGGCTACTCTGTCAAGTTGAAAAATAATCATTTTTGTTTACTGTACAGCAACCCCTAATTAGGAGCTGTGTGTGCACGAAGGTGTCACAGCAAAGCGACGTGGAATTTTCGCTAAACGGTCTTAACGAACTCCTCGGTCCTGAACTGACAGGCCAACGGAAGCAGGAGGCCCCGAGGGCGCATACCCCTTCGCTGCCAGCCACCCCCTCCCCAAGCAAAGCTGCCTGTGGGCTCACCAGGAACTGTCGGGTGGATAGGGCAAGAAGCGAGCCTGCGAGTGGGAAGGAAGGGCGAGGCTCCTTATTGAGAAAGTGTGGAAGAGAAGGAATATCCCATTTTGTTTTAATTTTCAAACATCACTCAAATCCACCCCCAGTTAATTAGGAGGGGAAACTGATAGCTAAGGCAGAAGGGGGCGGCGGAAAGTGGGGCCTGAAATCCGCATTGTGAGTAGATTGCATGGAACATGGCCTATGCAGAGTGTAAATAAATACACTGATAAAGGCCACGGAGCGAAGGAAAACTGCGGGTATCAGGAGAGCAATGCTGGGAGGGTGGGGGAGGAGAGGAGCTGGGGGCAGCAAGGGGAGGACATTCAGCCTCACAGGCAGCTTCCCTCCCCCTTCCACCTCTACCTTGGATAAAACTGTGCCAGTCACATCCGCTTGGAAACCCGCTCCTTCCCCTGGCACACGACCCCTCCCCTAACCCTGGCCCTTTTTTTGGGTGGGCGGGGGGAGGAGACGTACAAAACACAGCCTCCAATTCAGCACCAAATGCATGAACAGCAGACACTTGATCCTCCACCCCAGTCTAGGGCTGGGTCCCCTCCATGTTAGCCAAGTTCAAAATCACTGCCCCAGGAGAAGAGCAGGGGGAAGTGGGATTACGGACCTTCGGGGATAGGGAGGTATGGAGGGAAGAGGAAGAGAGAAATCGAGACAGAATGAAACAGGGACACAGAAATGGAGGCGGTGAGACACAAAATATTCCACAAGCAAGAGTAATGATCATAACCATGCCAATAGTGTGATGTTCTGATCAATATGGCGGACGCTGTCATTCATACAACTACAGGCGCTCCCCTTCCCCCTCCCAAAAAACACCCACCCGGGAGTTGGGGTGGAGGACCCAGAACCAACGTAGGGAGTGGGGGAGGGGAGTCAAATATAGGGGTGTGTGTGTGTTTGTGTGTGTGTGCACGAAAACAGGCCTGGAGAGCAATGTGGAGTAAGCAAGGTAATAAAAACGATTTAAAAAATTATTCTTAATAAAAGTACAAATCCCAGTGCCACAGGGACTTACTTCATCTGCTTCACAATGGTGCTTTTTCCTGATTCTCCAGCCCCTGTTGGGACACAGACAGTGGGGAAAAACTGGTGAGTGTCAGCTTAAAGGAACGGGGGGGGGGGGTGAACTAAGGCATGCGAGGGGGTGGGCGATCCTGGGCACATGGTGTTGCCAACTTGGGGACCAGGTCTACCGGGCGCGGGTGGGGTGGGGGAGCTGGCGGCAGGGGTGCGGAGTGGCCGGGGTCGGGGGATGGGGGTGGTAGCGGCGGTCCTTACCCAGCAGGAGTAATTTCACGTCTTTGGCGGCGCTGATGCCATCCTCTTTGAGGTTTTTCTCAATCGCCTTGCTCCGCTCGAGGGCGGCTCTCTCCTCTGCGCTCAGAGTACATCCCATGGTGGCCCCTTTCCTGCCACAGCCCGCACAACTCCGCTGGCACGGCTCCCCGGATCGGCGCGCCCCCCACCCCCCCAGAGAGCAGAGCCTGGGCTCAAGGGGGGAAAATCACGATATCCTCTCCTGGGCTGGAAACAAAAATGTCGGGTAACCAGAACCCCCCAAAAAAGCCGCTAACAAGATTCCAGCAGCGGAGACTCGCGGCAGCTGGTGGGGGTCTGGGGGTGTCGAGTCGAGGGTAGCCTGGGGTCAGGGGCTCCGGAGCCGAGGGAGGAGGCGCCCGCGGACCGAGGAGGCGCGGGCTGCAGGCACTGAGGCTTGTGCACGACCCAAAATAAATAAAATAATAGTCGAGGCCGGAGCCGCAGCCGGAGCCGACGGAGGGTGGGGTGGGGGGCAGGGTGGGTCCTGCTGCCGCGGCTGCTGGAGGAGGAGGCGGTGGCGGCGGAGGAGGAGGAGGCGGCGGAGGCGGCGGCGGCGGCGCGGGATGTGGAGGGAGTGAGTTAGGGGGTGCTGCTAGTGCATGTGCATCGCCGCTCTTCAGCCGTCGGTGCGTCCGCGGCGCCTTCGCCGACCCCCGCGCGCTGGGCAGGGCTGGGCAGGGGGCCGGACCGGGGGGCAGGTCTCTAGCGGGAGGCGGCGTTGCTGTCTCCCAGAGCTCGCATCGCTCGGTGAGCCTACCGGAGAGAGAGGGAGAGCGCCAGGGAGCCGCGGCCAGCCGGGAGCTCGAGGGAGAGGGAGAGAGAGAGAGAGGCAGGGAGGGAGGGGAAAAAAAAAAATGGGAGAGCGAAGGAGCGCGCGCGCGCCAGGGCCTGGGCGGGGGGATGAGGCGAGCGCAGCGCGCGAGTGCGCCAGCGGCTCTGCGCACCCGGCTCCGCGGGCCGCCGGCTGACGTCAGCAGGGCCGCGCGCCGAGCCCCCGGGACTGGGAGAACGCGGGGCGGGGGAGGCGCGCGCCGGGGGTCCGCGTCAGCCGGCGGCGGCGCGCACGCGCGCTCGCGGAGCATCCTCCCCCTCCCCCAAGCGCCCTCCGGGCCCGCTGCTCCCCCGGGGTGGGCGCGTGCGGGGCTGGCGGGGGCGGGGCGTGGGGCCGGGCGCGCGCGGGTCCCCTACCCCGCCCCTGCCCCCGCCCCCGCCCCCGCCCCCGCCCCACGCGGCGGCGGCGCGGACCTCCTTGTCAATGGGAACGCTGGGCCGGGCGGGCGGCGCGGCAGTCAGGTGGGCCCCCCAGCTCGCGGCCGGCGCGGCCTCTGTCCCTCTCCCGCAGGCTCTCCATCTTGTCTCCCGCAGCCCGCCTTCTCCGTGGCTCTCCAGCTGATGGGGCCGCAGAGCCGAGGTCAGGTTACCTCAGGAACGCGTTGTGGTAGTGGGTCGCAATAAAACCGCGCGCCCCAGAAATCGCTTCTGGAGCGTGAGGACAGATTCGGACTTTTCGCGTCCTTAGTCCACATTTATAGAGCACCTAGTATGTGAGAGCCAAGGCTGTAAGGAGAGGAATGCAGCGGGCCGAGAAAAGCTTGGGCCTGTTCTCCGGGAGCCGCTGCCTCCAGGGCCGTCGGCTACCCTGCTCCGAGATCCCAGCCGCCGCTCTCCGCGCAAGAGGGGTGCCCACCCTCGGAGGCGGAGGGCCCGGAGCGGAGGGACGGGGCTTCAGGCGACCGGGAGCTTGCAGCAAACCCCTGATCCCTGAGCAGTTTATTTTAAAAGCTTTTGCAGGTGTTGGACGGTTTAGCCTGGCGGAGGCCTCTTTGCACTGAATTCTTCTGTCTTCCTCCTTCCAAACACACAAAATGAATTTTGAATAGATTTTGGATGAGAGGTTTTCTTCCTTCTTTCATCTTCTGAAACATTTCCCCCTCATTTCTATTCAAATAAAGACCCAGAAACCCGGGTCAGTTACTTGGTGTACAGCTAGTCAAATACTGAGGAAACCAGTTGATATTTGCCAAAGATTGGGCATGTTCTGGGTGGTCTCAGATTTTGAAGAAACGAATTTTTTACTGCACAAAATAGTTTTACAATCAGTTCCATCAGGCAGCCCCAGGGGCTCTCCTAGGGAAAGGGGCCAATAGGCAAGGTTGCATGGGGATAAGAGAGGCAAGCGGCCAGTGGAAAACGTTTTTGTTTTTTTGTTTTTTCCCCTAACAGTTGGGCATTTCTGTGGCTCTGAAAGCAAACTTGTTTGTTTCATTTCAACGATAGAAAAAAACACTCCTGTTTTGGAAATGTAACCCAGCATAAAAATACATTTGCAATGGGGAAAAAGAAGGCAGTTTAGGGCCACCCAGAAGAAAATGCTTTTTCCCTTGATTTTTTTTTTTTTAATTTGGTATTTCCCAGTGTGGGTTTGCCTTATTTTACAAATAGCTGCCTATGTCAAGCTGTGGGTATGTGATTTAAATATTTTAATTTGAATCACATTTTACATAGTCTAGGAAACTGACAAAGGAATCCTATAGAGAATTGTTTCGTAAAGTGAATAACTGCTTCTCTACCTACCCACCCCCCACCATTCTTTTCTGTGTGTGTTTTTTGGGGGATGTTAGGGGATAAATCTGGTTTGGCTTAAAAATCACTAAAACGCAGCCTTTCAAATCCAAAACAGAGAGCTTAAGCATCCAACATTCTATAGAATGTGTTATTTCCTCAAGAGGTTGCTAGGAACAGTTATGTAGATCTACCAGATGCAGGGAAAACACTCCACACCCTCACCCAGGTGCCGTATCCCTGCAAGACTGCATTGGAAAGACTGAAGAGGTAAGAATATAACCATTTCATGGCAGATGGTGGGTCACATTTCATGTTTCTGTGCTCTTTCATATGAAGTAATTTTTGGTTTAAAATCTTAGGCTCTTGGGGTATTCCAGGGTTGTATGGTTGAATGAAACTCTCATTGACCTTGGGTATATGTATTGCTTCTTGGTATCAGACCTAGTATAAGGAGGCACAAACCTGTTTTGTGTTTTTCACTCTGTACTTACTAAGCACCTACCTACCATGTACAGGGTAATTGTTCTAGGTGCTAGAGATGTTATATTTCAGGTTTGTCTACTCAGTTTTCTTTTTCTGGGTCACTTTGCATCTTTATCGCTGGGCTTCGTAAAAGACTAATAATAATCCGCTTCATCTGTATAGTGCTTTACAGCTTACAGAGCACTTTTACAAAAATTATCTCATGTGATCCTCCCACATAAACCTCAGTTAAGCACATGGCGTGGGAAGCATCATGGCTGAGTGCAAAGAACCTGGACCATGAATACAGATCAACCTGGGTACCCATTTTATAGCTGAAGAAGCTGAGCCTCTAACTTTTTAGGGTCACGAACAGTTATTATTCTTACTACTACCTGTAAGTAGTAAGCCAGTGTTCCTTTCACAGGTTTGTGGACTCTGAGAAACAGCATGTTAAATACACAAAGTATGCTTCTGAGACTTACAGAAAGCTTACAACCCCAGAACCCAATCATATTCAGGTTCCCCCAAAGGACATGAGGATAAGAATCTCTCAGTTCTCTGTGAATTATTAGTAATTAGATAATACCACAAGTGTTTAATTGTTCACAGTTCATTCCTGTGGGAATGGGGAAATTACTATCCTTACATCAGCAGCAAGAGATGCTTAGACCAAGGACAGATTCTATTTGGTTTTATTTTATTTGATCCTCAGAATTTTATTTCTTGGGTTATTGTCGATGTCCAGTGAATAACTCTCCCTCCAACCTCAGTTAGCCATTCCCTTTGCTATGTACATACACCTTCAGTAGATTTTTAATTTTAAAAGTACATAATTATTTTATATACTCTCTACAGGAACAACAGCAAAGCAAAGTTACTTTTTTACTGCATGTGGCTGCTAGATCTGGAGGGCAATTCATGATATCAACAACATTCCCCAGCTCTGACTTAGAGAATGTGGGCTCTGATGAGGTAAACTGAATTCCCCTATTTGTTCCCTTTTATAGTTTAATTAAATATGAAACTACTTTATTTAAATATGTATGTATTGGCAATCTACTATGTTTAATATATTGATTTAGACATGAAGACAGGTTGGGATGTCATGAGCTTGGAATCTTGAAATCTTGAAACTTCTGTAGTGTTTTCTTAAAACAATTCACATTAGAATTAGCTGGGGTGCTTGTTAGAAATTCAGTTATCCGTCTTTTACCAACTCATACTCTTCAGCCATTCACATTGATAGCCACTGCCCAGGTGATTTTTCTGTGTACAAAGTGTTGGTCTTATACAGAATCCATATGTGGCAATTAATTCTGCTAAGAGCTGTCTTAAAGCCCAGATATCTTACATGTTTCTAAATCCAACTTTTTTTATGTCTACTAATTTTTTGTATTTCTGTCAAAGGGAAAAAAATGATGAAAATTACTATTCCTTATGAATACTACTCTCACAGGAAGAAAATAAGCTAAAATATGTGATTCATAAGCTAAATGAAACTAAACTAAATATCCAGTGAATTAGTCATTTTATTTCTTTTTCTTTTTCTTTTTGAGATGGAGTCTCACTCTGTTGCCCAGGCTGGAGTGCAGTGGTATGATCTTGGCTCATGGGAACCTCTGCCTCCCATGTTCAAGTGATTCTCATGCTTCAGCTTCCCCAGTAGCTGAGATGACAGGTGAGCGCCACCATGCCCAGCTACTTTTTTTTTTGTATTCTTAGTTGAAACAGGGTTTCACCGTGTTGGCCAGGCCTGTCTCCAACTCCTGACCTCAAGTGATCCACCAGCCTTGGCTTTCCAAAGTGTTGGGATTACAGGCGTCAGCCACTGCACACAGGGAATTAGGCATTTTAGGGAGAATGTTAGGTAGAAATTTTGGGTTTCTGCACCAAGTTTATTTCTATTATAAAAGTGATAACTCACAATCCAACTTAGTGGTGAATATGATTTAGAAGAATGTGTGGGTTTGGCTAAGAGATGACTTTTTTTCCAGTTTGTATCTGTCATTAATGAGGGAAGGTACTGATCAATCTTTTCATATTTCTAAAAGACAAGCCCTATATTCAGTATTTCCCTAACTGATATTTATGCACCTCAGACCTACCAGAGTGGTGGTTCTCAAACACTGTGCACAAGAATTACCCAAGGTGCTTTTTAAAGAGCAGATTTCTGGGTTTAATACCTAGAATTTCTGAAGTCAGTTAAGTCTGAGGTGAAACTTGGGAATCTTTATTTTTACTTTCATACCTTCTTCCCAAGTACTCAGATACTTTGGGAAAACATTAGTAGACTGTGAACTCCTTTGAGGGAACAGAGTTGTCATATTACTTTGTGTATATCCCCAAAGATCAAGGATGGCCCACTGCCCACAGGTCATCAGTTTCAATATTTGTTAACTAAATTCACCAGTCAGTAGGCAAGGGCTAAATCGGACACTATCACAAAGCTCTTCCCACCTCTGAGACTTTTATTTTTGTAGCAGAAAATTTTTAAAACTTGATTATTCTACAAAGATTGGATGAGTTCAAAAAGGTAATGGCTTGTCGTCAAGTAAGGTTCTGAAAAGTGAAATGATACAGATTTTAAACAAAAGAATGGGAGATTTATTGGCCTATGCCAGCTTGTGAGATGAGTGTTTGCCAGGTGTTTTTGACATTCCCATCAGAAATTTTTTTTGCTTAATTTCATGTCCCATTTTGTTATTTTGTAAAATGCATGAAAAAATTAGTTTTCTTATATATAATTTTAGGGATAAGAGATGTCATAGGAAGAAATAAAGGTTTTGTGTACTTTTAAATGAAGGGATTTTTCATGAAGGAGCAGATTAACGTTTATAGGTAATTGAATTGAGCTTTTAAGTTATTGAAGTCCATTATGTGGTCACTGTTGACAACATAATTTGTTGAGTATTCATTGATGGTTCAAGAACCCCGAAGAGGGTGTGCTTTGTGAGTTTTTTCAATTTAGTATAGCTAGAGAATCCCACAGGGATCCCTTTGGATTGCATAGAGTGGAAAGTTGGAGGGGCCGAGGACTAGTGCTTTCTTTCACATTTACAATAAAGTGGACCAAGAGCTGAAATTGAAGTAGGAAGCTTGGCTTAATATGAAAGCATTACCTAAAGTCATGGATTCCTATTGGAATTTTCTTGGAAAACCTTTCATTAGAAATTAAGATTCTTACTTGTTTTGATGGGAATAATAGTACTTTTCAACCTACCTGGGCTAGAGTTGACAGTTAAGGTTAGCAGGAACATATTTGTAAAATATTTATTTAGTACTTATTATGTCCTCCAGAAGACAGAAGCTTTCCTTACACAAAGGTTATTTGCATTATTTATCATATTTTCAATCTCCATAGAGCTTTTCACACATGCAGCTCAAATACATTTTAGACATTATCTCATTAGGCTTCTGTAAGCTTCAAGGTCCAAAGTCTTATTACTGCATTGCTTTTTACAGATAGAACTCTTTTAGTTTGTTTCTGTCAGTTATATTTGTGAAAGCAAAAAGTAGGTGAATTTTATCTGAATCCAGTTAGAACAAATTTGAATTGGCTATAACAAATGTAACTTGGGGAGGAGAGGCTATCCATTAGTTCAGATTTAGATGTGCATTGAGAGTGTTTGGCCATACTAGACTGAATTAATTTTGTGACTTGTGTGCATTCTTTAAAGTACATGTGGTCTGAGGTGTTCCCAAAGTCTGCCAAGTACCAAGATCGAGGCGTTCCAGCTGGGTAACATGATTCTTTAGTTGAGCTGACATTTAGGCATGTTATCTATTCGCCAAATGCCTGCAAAACCCTGACCTCTGTGGCAGAGAAAAACATTTTTATAAAATTCCTGTGTGTGTGATGGAGCAGATCTATAAAACTAAAAAAGGACAACTCAGTGAGAGACACATTTTCAACCAGTCACCTATCCCATAGGACTTTTACCTAGAATCATTTTAAGGTTGAAGTAAAAAGAAATGAACTATACTGATATTCTTCTCAAGTAGTCCCTGAAGTCCACTGTCTCTCCACCTGGCCATTGTAGTCTTTGGAGAGGGCTAAGAGGAAAGAACTCTGAATTAGTTACATCCAATATAAATGAAAAATAGCATTGTTCCTAATGACTAAAGAGAGGACATACACCCGTCTTAATAAAAACACTGAAAGCAGTGGCCTAACCATGAGTCTGAAATTAATGAGGTTGATGCCCAAAGGCAATCTTACAAGAAAAAAAATCTGTGGTGGGATTGAGAGGTGGGGTGAATGAGGCAGTGGAAGAAAAAGGGCAGATTTAGAGATTGGTCATTTTGATCATTCTTTTTTTGATTCTGCAACCTCTGCTTCTGCTCTAGGTAGTGATACCAATCATTTTTTCCCTTTTTTTGCCTCCTTTGTCTCTGCTCTGTTCTTCTACTTGGCTTTATCGCCCTCATAAACACTTCCACAGCAAGAAATAGTGATAAGAATGATATTTTCCTGTAATTATCTTTATTTAATGAATGAATGTCTTTTATATTTATTTTAGGCTTGCCATGTGCCAGACACTATGTTAGTTGTTGGGAATATGCTGTAGAATAGAACATATATGATCTTCTGCTATCATGCAGAGGCATATAGTCTCAGACTTTTGAATTATAATAATCTCCTATATTATTTATTTAAGTCCTTAAACAGCTATTTGAAATAGCCAGGATTTCTGGTTTTCATTGCATACATAATGAAATTCAGCTTAGAAAAGTTCAAGCGATTTACCCAAGATCACATAGCTCATAAATTGTGTAATCAGAATGGACACCTTACTTTTTTGAATTCCAAGACAGTGTTCTTTCTGCCACATCATGCCACTTCCCGAAGATTCAAGGTTCAAAGATTACATCTCAGCTGCTCTTTTAAATAGCACAGGCACCAATTATGCTATTCATATTTTAGTGGGTTTTTACTTTATTCAGTAATCCTTCTCCTACTTTCTTGGATATTATTGACCATCATAATGAACTTTACCCAAGAAATTTATGATCCCATGATATCTATTCCAATAAATCATTCCTAGCTCTTAAAGCAGAATAGATTATCTTTGTAGTACATATATCAGAATATTCTCCATATTTTGCAGCACCTCCTCCCTCAAAGGTGAAAACCAGAAATTGACAGTAGATGATATGCAACTATTACAGATATTGTGAAGCTTCAGTCTCAGTAAGTTTGGACAAATAATACATGAAAGTGGTTTTCAAAACTAAGGGGAAGTAATGCCAAGAAAGGCAGCAGAGTGAAAAGAACACTGGACAGAATGAAGAGACAAGACTTTTAGTCTCTGGCCACCTTTGGGAGACTTAATTCACTTTCCAGGTCCAGTTTCCTCAATCAAGAAAGTGGATTTTAGGTATCTTCTGTCCATAATTCTAAATCCAAATTGAGAGGGCAGAGAACCTGGAGACTGACATTGGGGAGACTACAAAAGGCAGAGCTCCAGAGGGCCGAGCAAGAAAATGTTATAAATGTATTTATTCAGTTCTTGAATCTGGGTGTATCTGTTCATTGTCAAAACGGTTCCCTTTACTTTTTCCCTCTCTTTAAGTCAAGTATGAATTTTTCACATTTCTTACTGGTGTTTGCTTTAGAAATATAACATGTTGTAAACGTAACAAGCCAATAGTATGAAAAGACTATGAATTGACTTTGATTTTCCCACTTAGAAGTGATACCACTCCTAGATATACTAGAATTTTTTTTTTTTTTCCAGCCAGTCATGAAAGGTTTCTGCAGATAGCCCTGTATCCCTTTCAGCACAGCAGGGAGATAGTGGCTCCTAATCAACACCCAGTTGATTTTCACAGTATTTCTTTGTGAGTGAATATCCTAGGGGGCTGGGAAAGGATAGCTGAGGGATTCACATAAATCTAGCAGTGGTAACTAAAGAGGCAAATGAACTTAACAAGGGTTTACCTTTTCTCACAGCCTCCACTAAATCTTTGCA